TAACGAACAGAGTGTTGAATCTGATGAATGATAACGTGGTCTCTCACTTCCAGAAGGTCATGCAGCACAGGAAAAAACAAAATGGGCCCTGCGGCTGAGAGACAAAGGAGAGAGGAACCCCCTGGAAGAGATCCCCCCAGTGTCCTGATGGAGGGGGCCTCTCCCTCCAGGCAGTGACCCCCCCCAACCCAGGTTGGTGCTCCCCGCTGCACGGGCCAGGACTTTGTCACTTTGTTGCTCTTCATCACTTTGTCTCAAATCTTTCTGATTACGGATTAGCCTTATTTACATTGAACCTTATGGGGAAATTTGACTCGGCTCACGACCAATTTGGGCCACGACCAGAGTCCTGGAACGGATTAAGTTTATGAGCCGAGGTACCACTGTATTTGTAAGCTGTATTATACCACTGAAATTACTTCTAGGATTTCCCATATCCCCAAAGGATACAGGGGAAATATAATTCTCTCTCCCGTGATACCCGTACCAGGATCAACACTCCAGCCGAGGGAAGGGGTGGGACAGCCAACGGTGCCCCCAGAATCAACGCACTTGCAGGCATGAGCAGGAAACAGCCACACTCTCTGCAGAAAGATGCAAGATCAACAACGTGAGCTGCCAATAATGGGCTGACTGTGCAGAACAACCCAAGCCGGCAGCACAAGGCTGAGCTGCACTCCTGGCGCGTCTGCGAGGCCTGGCAGGCTAGACATGCAACAAACAAAGTATGCAGAACCCCTTTCTGGGGAGGGGAAAACAGGTTTAGAAATAGATGCTTCAATACATAAATATAAGTTTCCATGTGGATTTAAACTTTAAAAATGCAGCAAGACGGACCAAGCATACGTGGGGACCTGCAGGCAGGAGACAGGCTCGCGTGCCGCGGGCGACCCTGCAAGCGGCCGGGCGAGGGAGGCCTGTGCCCAGAGCCGAAAACGCCCGTGAAGCAGGAGGACGGAAGCGGTGGGAGGAAGGCCAACAGAAACTGGACCCAGACCTGGAACAGGGGAAGGAGAGCGCTAGAAAGTGGGGAAGGGAAGGGAAGGGAAGGGAAGGGAAGGGAAGGGAAGGGAAGGGAAGGGAAGGGAAGGGAAGGGGTCCCCTCTTTCTTGCCCTTCCTCACGGCTCCCATTCCAGATTCCCTGCATAATAAAAACCCTTAAATTATTGGAAGGATTTTCTCTTCGAAAAAATGCAGCCCACTAGTGAAGAGCTGGCCCACTGCGCCTGAAGGCTTTATATTTGCACCGGAAGTGTTAAAAGGCAGCCAAAATATTGATAGCAACGCACTCTGAGACCGCTTCTAGTGCACGCCTATTCCAGAGAAGTCCTACTGAGTTCAATGAGGCTCGGGTTGGCACGGGTTTTCTGCCTTCATGGGCATTAATACAGAGAAGGAATCCCCTTTTCAAGGGATCTGTTGGTGACTGTGTTTCATAACCCAGAGAGTTTTCCTTCCCGCCCACCTCCCCCCCACCCCGAGGGAGCGGCTACCACGCTCCGGGAAGTGCGCCCCAGAGGAGCCCGTGCCCCCCCCCGCAGGCAAGTCCCCCCAGCCATGCCGGGGCCCCTGATGCTGCGTGATGGTCCTGGCCTGGAGGGAGCACACGCCCTCGCGGAGGCAGCCGGAGACAGCCGGAGGCAGGGTTCCCGGAGAAAAGCCCTGCGCGGCTCGCCAAGGGCGGAGACGGGCGACCGCACGTCTTCAGCTCAGCCCTGGCAGTGGCCCGCTGCCCCCGGCCTGCCCCGGGGGTCGCACGTGCCCTTGCACGCCTAGGCCAGGCAGCAGCTTTCCCTGGAGCGTGTGGAACGGGCTCCCACAGGAGGTCGCGGAGGCCCCCTCGGTGTGGGTCTTCAAAGATAGGCTGGACATGCACATGGTGGGCATGTCGTGAGTGGAGCCAGCTGGAGCCGGGGGTCAGACTAGATGGCCCAGGAGGACCCTTCCGACTCGCGCTGTTTCTGTGTTTCTGTGTTAAATCTGGCCCTCGCAGCATGGACAACATGTTTCCCCTTGGCGTGTTCATTTCTCTCCCAGCTTTCCCCAGCCTCCTGCAAAGCACACACTTTTTCAAAAACCAGTTTGCCTCTCCAGGATTAGTCTCACAAGATTCTCATTCCAAAAATCATTCTCCCCCATTCCCCCGATTTTTTTCCTTGGCTTCCCTTACAAAGGGGGAGGAAAGCACAAGGAATGCACCATGCAATGTCCACACCGGGATGCGAGCAAGGTGGGGCGGGGGGGGTAGGCAGGGGCTACGAAACATCCTGACTGTTGCTGGTTCTCTGCAACGCTGCCAGCGACGCGGCTAACGCAGAGCACGGTGCTGATCAGCGTTCCCAGACATGCTGAGAAATTGATGCATGGTGCTCGCCTTGCTTGATACCACATTTCCAGCTGCAGTTAAACAGACGGGAGCCAGCGCGAAAGGAAAAAAATGCAGGGAGACCAGCACGGTCAGTCGCTTCCTCCAGTTTTACTCCTTGTCGCACCCCTCTTGTAGGCCAATGTATCCTGCAACAGCTTCGCTGCTATTCCGCAAACGGACTTTTTGGTGGATTTCAAAGCAAACGGCGCTGGGCAGGAGCGGCTGTTTACAGCTTTGCTCTTTGCTAATCGCTTCATAATGCAGGGCACTGTTGACAGTTTGTTTGAAAACTCGCTTGCTTGCATAAACATGTTCCAGCCAGTTATTATTTGCTTTTTAAACTTTTGTTCCCAATATAACTTATTATTAAACAACCTCTTTCATTAGAAAATCTTGTCTGGAATTCTTGCATGTCTCCAAAAGATAAATACAGATTTCTCTCTCTCTCTCTCTCTCTCTCTCTCTCTCTCTCTCTCTCAAAGGGTGATTCATTTATTCAGGCCTTCAACTTTTGACCTGCACTTTGAAATAGTCACTCTGACTAGATGAATTATGCACTTTAAATAAATTAACCTATGAATATACCTGTCCTGCCTATGAAAGGGCTGCTGCATTTGATACAGGGAGTTTGAGACGGTTTACAGCAATCGCGTGGAGCAGCCCTACAAAGCTGCAGCAAACGGCGAGGCCCCGCACGGCCGCCGAGTCGCACAGCTGCGCCCCTGCGAGCCCCACGCATCATCACGCGAGAGGCGACCCAAGGCAGCCTCCAGCCCACCAGGGAGCGGCTCATCCTCCAGCAGCACTGCTTCTGGAGGCAGAGCAGGCCAGCCGGGCCAATGTGGACACCCGTCAACAGCACAATGCCCACAAGAGAACGCACACGCAATTAGATGCCTGAAGACACTTCTTGGCATGGGGCCCCCACACGACCGGTCCAATTCGCACACAGAACCCTAGAAGAGTAGAGCTGGAAGGGGCCAGGAAGGCCACCAGGCCCAACCCCCGCTGTTGCCGGGCTCCACGTCACCCCCTCCAAGTTACACCCAGAGGAAGCGGTGGAGCACAGAGCACACGGGTCCATCCCCGGAGGCGTGGGGATCCAGGCGGCCCCCAGAGGGCTGTGGAGATGCCCGGGTGGCGGTGCTGCGAAACCCCTGAAATGCAGAGGTGCCCCAGGGAGCGGACATAATTCTTCTCGTGCACGCTCCCTGCCGTGAACTCGCATGGCTCCATGGAGCACCCTGGAGCTTGCAGCAACGGCACAGGCTGGAAGACGGCCTGGCAAAGCCACCTCTGAACCCAGAAGATCTTAACAAATGTCAGTCACTGGTGAATAATGTCCTTTCCTGGGAAAAGCTGCAAGCAGGAGGAGGCCAACCAGCCCCAGACAACCCGGCTGCCGTGTGCCGGTTGCCGGGTGCTTCCGCGCCCGATGCGGCTGCCTGGGCCAACCCAGGAAGCCCTCCCCCCTCGCCCGCCCCCCATGTTTTCCCTGCCGCTTTGCGCGACGCAGGCTGGAGCCTGCCCTGGGGTGTGCTGCAAGGCAGAGGCGGCAAACTGCTTGACGCAGGGACGGCCTGCTCCTTGCATGCTGTGCGCACCTGCGTGCTGCGGGAGCCACATGCCACCTGCACTTCCTGGAAGGCACCTTGAAGTACTTCCTGGATTTTCAGACAGTGACGTGTTGCGGAATATATGCATGACTAAACTTTCAGTTGCCATTTGAGGAAAGTGCTCGCAGTCGGTGCGGTGAGCACGCCTCCCTGCTGACCTGCATGTCTTGTCCGCGCTGGCTGCGCAGCCTCTCCCCTGCACTCTGCCGCCAGGCTCCAAGCGCCAAGCTCACCGCAAGTGTGGTCGCTGCGTGAACTGTGCTCTCGTCATCAGGGAAAGCTGTACATTTTTGCTTGCTGAAAAGCTCGTTACCTGCCAGGCACACATTTCCACACAACCCACCAGAGGAGCGGGTCCCAGTTCAGAAAACACAGAACCCCACGGAGGCTCAAACCTCTCCCAAACAAGGGGTGGGCCGCCAGGGTGGCTCACGGTCCTGGAAGGGCAATCTGCCCCAAGTGGCAACCCACTGTGCCTGGTTACCCCTGAGGGCCTCACTGAGCATATGACTGTGCTTCCTGACCCGACTCCTCCGATGCTCGCACTCCAAACTTTGCAGGAACAAAGGTGTCCCTGCGACTTCATCATGGAGATGTGGCCGTCTCCCCTAAGCGCAGATGGGCGCAAAGGTCTCCACCCCCCCTCCCTTGGCCACCCGCATGGCCAGTCCTCGTTTGACCCGGGAAGAGGACTGTGGAGCGGGAAGGGGCATGTGCTGGTGCGCCAAGAGTGAGGGGAGAAGGGGGCCCACTAAACCTGCCCTTGCCCCAGGAGCGCTGAAGCCCACCTAGCTGGCCGCTGCTCCTGGGTGCAGCGGGTGACACGAGTCCCTCCGTCGTTCCACCCTCTCCGCCAGGCTCTCGTGGGGGACCCTTGGGCCGAGAGGGTCAAGGGCAGCCGGGTGCGGAGCTTGGCAGGGCGGGCTCAAAAGTCGCTTCCGGACACAGTGCGTTCAGTGCATGACAACAAAGATCGGGGGGTTTCCAAAAGTAATACACATACAATTGGCAGCAAATGGCCATCCACCTGATGAAGGTTCAGCATAGCAGCATTCGGGAATTTGGCTTCCCTCTTCTCATCTGGAGCCCTGCAGAAGGATTCCGCCTGTTCCACACGCCCCTCAGCGCTGCTTCGCGGGCGCAGGACTTTTCCATGGGAGTTCAGGCTTGTGCGGTGAGATGTAACTGAATGCTGAAAGGGTGGCTCGAGGGCCGCTTGTGCTCATGGCAGCAGCAGCTCTGGGGCCGGGAGCTTGGACTGTGGGGCGGGCACGGTCCCTGCTCCTGATGCTCCCACCTTGCCCGATCTTCCCTGTTCTTTCATTCGCAGTTTGCAGACTGCCTGCTTCCTAACCTGCTCCAGTTTTCCCAGGCATTGATGTCAGTCTGCCTGGTCCGTAGTTCCCAGGTTCTTCCTTTTTCCCTTTCTTGAAGACAGCTGCCCTTCCCCCGTCCTCCAGCACTTCTCCTGCCCTCCATGATTTCTCGAAGATCGCAGATAGTGGCTCTGAGGGTTCTTGTGGCACCTGCTTTATGACTCGAGGAAGGCCATGGGTGTTCCCACCATGAAGACATTCAGAAAGGGCCTGGGCAGCCATCTGAACGGGAGGGTGTGACTGTGTGCCCTGCAACACAACGGCCTTCGCGGTCCCATCCAATTCCACTATTCTGTGCTTCTTTGGGAGAAGACCAAGCCAAAGTCGGAACTGAGCACTCCTGCCTTTTCCCTGGCATCTGCTATCTTGCCACCCACAGCTTTCCTCTCCCTTTGGACACATCTGAAGAGGGCTTTTTTGCAGCTTTTCGCATCCCTCGCTTGCCTCAATGCACTTTTCGCTTTAGCCTTCCCGATGCCTTCCCCGCAATTGTGCACTCCCTCCGTGTACTCTTCCTTCTACTTCCTGTACCTGCCCTGTTTCGTTTTGTTTTGTTTTGAGATCATCCCTAAGCTTTCTGTGAAGCCACATGGGCTTTTTCTGCTGCTTGCCACCCCTTTCCCTTGCTGGAATTGTTCTTTCATGTTTTTATTATTGTCTGCCTTTGCAATTGTGAGCTGCTGCGCTGTGCCCTCGGCTGCAGCAGGTCCCCTGCGCTGTCTGAAAGCTCTTCACCTTTCCCTCGCCGCTCCGGTGCTCTCACCTGCTCCTCGGGCAGGCGCTGCGCAGGTGGGCCACGCGGGGCCTGGGCAGGAGGGCAAGCAGCGCGCAGGCGCCTTCTCTCTGCTGCCGTCTGGAGTCCGGCGTGCTGGGCCTGGTGTCGCAACCAGTGTGTTCTCCCGCCTGCCCTGGCAGTTCACAACACAGTCCCGCCTGAAATGGGAATGTGTTACAAGGAAGAAAACAAGGGGGCGGTGGAGCAGGAACCGGGGGAGAGAAGCCAACGGAAGAAAAGGGAAATGGTAACAGGCAATAGCAACTTTCCCTGGGGACGCCTCCCCGGTGGGCAGGAGCCGTGCCTCTGCGGCACCACAGAGGCTTCTCCACGCTGTCCGTCCCCACCCCGACTCTCCGCTGGCTCCATCCCGGCACAGAATGGATTTCTGCTCGCAAAAAATCGCCGACATGTTGAATTCATCAGATGGGCGAGCGCCAGCACAGCGCTGCTGCCAAAGAGCCAGCCATGCGAGCACCAGATCCGTCTCTTCTCCCGGCCGGAGCACGCGGTGAAGGCGCGGACGGCGGGGCAGGACGCAGCTGGTGCAGCGAGGCCGAGGCCGCGAGAGCTCGGGGGCGAAGGCCCGGCCCGCCTGGGAGGAAGGGAGCGCACGCACAGTGGCGGCCAGAGCGGCCGCCTGAGGGGCACTTCGGTGGTCCAGAACGGGGTCAGCCCATCTTGTGGGCAGGCCCTGTGGGCAGGCCCTGGCCCTGGCCCTGGCCCTGCACCACGACCGTTGGTGCAGCTGCGGCAGCGGGAGAAGGGCACGACCCACACAGAGTGGGGAGAACGCGTGGAGGGAATGTCGGGGCTGTGGTCCAGCCCCAGCTGAAATGCCCCCCCATCACCAAACCCAGCAGCAGAGGAAGGGCGCGAAGGCCGAGAGCAGGCAGGTTCCTCCCGGCACCGCTGGCGGTCACCCCAGTCCGCACAGGTCCCCTTGCTGCTGCAGGCGATGCTGTTTGATACGATCATCCCATTTTTTCCGCCCGTACCCAACGCCCAGCCCGTTGCTCCCCAGAGGCCCCCTGGCCCTCCTGTCCCCACGCAGCCCACACCCTCCCCAGGCCCGTGGCGGAGGGCCCCCGGTGAGGGGCCTGGTGGCCACACGGGTGTGGGACTGTGGTGCACAGGCTGCGAACAGCGCATGGCGGCCCACCCCGGAGCCCTCCTTGTGAGGCTGGCACGCTTCCAGCACGGGGGCTGCTCTGCAGGGGCCCCGGGCACACTGGTCCACACACTGGCCCACAGGCCCTCCAGGTCTGGCTTGTGGGGCCAGTGCCACTCAGCGGGGCCACCTCTGCTTGTGGGGCACCTTCGGGGACGCACACGTGTGCTTCGCTCGCATGGAAGAATGATTCAAAGGATGCGGCATTCCCGCGGCGTCCTGTGGGCCGGGGGCGGGGGGACCTTCCGGGACATTTCAGTTCAGGGAACGAAGGCTTTGGCGGGAAGGCCAGCACTGCTCCCCCACAACCGCCAGGCTCGGCCTCTGGAGGCCCCGGCTGCCCAGCATTCTGCACCGTCTTCGGGCAAGCCAAGCGCGAGACCAAAATGCAAGCGGCACCGGGAAACCCGCACGGGCGTGGGCGCCGCCCCAGTCCCCGGCGCTTCCTCCTGGCGCCAGAACCAGGCCCCCTGCGAGCGGGCCTTCCCGGCGCGGCTCCCGAGAAGCAAGCTCGGCCCGGGAACGGCGCGGGTGCGGCTCCCGGAGCGCCGCGCGGGGCTGACGCCGGGTGGGCGCCCCGGCAGAGGCTGGCTCCGTGCGAAGCGGCCCCGCGCCCCCCAACCTGGCCCGCGCCCCCGGCCGCCCCGTCACGCTGCGGAGGCGCTCGGCGGCCGCCTGGGCGCGGAGCCACGCGAGGGGCGCCTGGGCGGCCGCTGACGACGCCCCACGG